TTCATAAAAGCTCCCAAAATTCTGTGTAATCGTATTGCCATTGTAATCATTTCATGCAGTCTAATCATACGGGTATGTTTTGGTATTGAATTAATTTTAATTTAAAAGAAAAGTTGAATTGATCCCAAATTTTTCATTCATCATTTTCAAAAATGATTTATTTGTGCACACAAATACTCTGATGTTGAAAGAAGGAAGATGCTTGAGTTCGTCATAGACAATATTTACATTTTTTTGAAACCAGGTCTTCCAACAATCTGTAAGAATCCCCATGGCTACCAATTGTGACCTGTTATTAGCAGACCAGCTTTATATTTATGTATGATTTGTTCAAAATCTTATACGCGAAAAGAAGGGAAAACTTGCTGTGGCCTTCAACTTAACATTTAGATATATCGATGATTTTCATTCATATATCGATACCATATCTCGATGAGTTTGAAATAAAAAATAAAAATACCAGAGTCTGACACATCCTATTTTCATATCCGGATATTTTACTTGAAAAGATGTTAATGGTTATCGTACAACAACGCTTTATTATAAATGTCATTACTAACTTTTCAACATCCCTTAATTATGCAGCATTATACCTTGATCTCTAATAATTCTAAAACGATGTTAGCTATTGACAAACAAGTTGATGAACCTAAAATATCAACAGTCATGTTTAAAGTCATAGTTTGGTTAGAAATATGGGCGATAAAATGACCTTGTCAGCAAATACAATCGATCATTTACTCAACTGACGACTGACGTTTCTCATATTTATTGTTAGGTCATTATTTACACATTTAATTGTCGAAGGATTAAACGTTATTCCCGATCATGATAAGTAACAAACAACGAATATATGCAGTCGGCAGGAGATGCTAACACCTCCATGGCACCTGATTCTCCTTTGATGTGTTAGGGGTTCGTGTTTGTTCTGCTCCTGATTTGAATTATTTAATGGACTTCTGAGCTGAAATATCGTTCGATATCTCAATATATTTCATTACCTTCTGTAATATAATTAATTGAATGAATATGACTGAAAACCTATACATGTATTAATAACAAATCAGAAAAAAATAAATTCAGACATCTTCAATATAAAGTGTAGCCTTCCAAGTTTATACCAGTAAAAAAGTCATATTCACACCGATTCTAAATTTTAATCCGAAGATTCCAACATGTCATATCGATGAGATTGACTACAAAAAACAATGAAATAACAATATAATGCATGCTTACTATACATGAGTTATTTTTCCTGAATTTATACATAAATATCTTTACTATAATTCCTATAATTCCTGTATTATAAATTCTGAAGATCTATAAGACTTGAAAGATAAAAATATACAAAATAGCAAGATCGAGAATTACTTTCGTTATGTACTGTACATTGTGAACACATGAATATGTTTACACTTCAATATTCAAAGTTATGCAAAATAAAGTAAAAATACTTATGCAAAATATACTCATGACATTGTTTAAATTAAATAAATACATACCAAATTTGTTAAACACTGGTATACTAGTCGTACAGAATAACAAACAATAGGCTACAAAAAATCGTGCCTTCCATGATTCGACTTCCGAGATGTACAAAGAAAAACCGTAGCTAGGTAAACCGTAAAATTCCGGATTGGCCGTTACATACTGCCCCCTTAATTGGGTTTCCACAAAAACACAATTATCAATTCATTACAAATAAGGCCAATCAAAAATTACACACAAATAATGCATGCCAAATAAAATAATTTCAATTATTTCATACTAAAGTTATTTATGGTCCAATTATCGTCACTGTCAGGTCCATGCTACACAGTCATCATCACTCGGACTCAACAAGCAGACAGAGTTTTCTAATCGGACGCATCAGGGTTGATGATCCAGTCTTCACTTTGACAACTCGCACAACGTCATCTCTGTCCTTCATCGTCTCGATCACTCGTCCCATAATCCATGAATTCCTTGGAGAGTTGTCCATCACAAGAACAATATCACCTACTTTCATATTTCTTGTTGGTTGTGTCCATTTCTGCCTTTTCTGTAAAAGCTGCAAATATTCATTTTTCCACCTTGCCCAAAATATGTCAGCTAAGTACTGGATTTGACGCCATCGTCGTCTCACATAATTGTCCTTTTTATCGAAAAGTCCAGGGGGAAATCTCTCACCAGGTCGCAAAAGTAGCAAATGATTTGGTGTTAGCGCATCCACATCACGTACATCCTCTGACATTTCTGTAATTGGCCTTCCATTTAGAATTGCTTCAACTTCACAAAAGAGTGTAGAAAGTCCTTCATCACTAATGCGAATATTTTGTTCACACATCACTGAATACAAAACTTTTCTAACAGATCTTATGAGTCTCTCCCATACACCTCCAAAATGTGAAGCAGCTGGTGGATTGAACTCCCATTGGATTTTCTTCTGAAGCATAAATTCATGTATCTGATGCAAGTTCCATCTTTGTATTTCCTCTGACATTTCCTTAGCAGCACCAACCAGATTTGTGCCATTATCTGAACGAATGAATGCTGGTATTCCTCTCCTTGCTATAAATCTTCTAATGGCATTTATGCATGAATCTGTGTCCAGAGAAAAAGCCAATTCAAGATGTATTGCTCTTGTAACTAAACATGTGAAAATCACACCGTAACGCTTCAGTGTACTTCTCCCTTGCTTCACTTCAAAGGGTCCAAAGAAATCCATTCCAAGCCTGGTAAAGGGGGGTTCATCTGCCTTAAGTCTTTCTTCTGGAAGATCTGCCATCTTTTGTTTTTCACAAACACCTCTGTGTTTCTTGCATATCACACATCTGGATACCAAACTTTTAATCATCACACTTGCACCAATAATCCAATATTTCTGTCTTAAAACACTTAAGATCGAGTTTTTTCCCAAGTGTCCAATGGTTTGATGAGCGTCTTTAATGATGAGACTAGACACTGGAGAATTTTTTGGCAGGATGATTGGGTGTTTAGCATCGAATGACATTTCTGCTCGCTCCAACCTTCCACCGACTCTCAACAGTCCATCTTTATCCAAAAATGGGTCAAACTTTCGCAATGGAGATTTGGATCCTATGCTTTTCTGTTTTCCAGAATCGGTCATATTTTTCAAGGCTTCAATTTCCTCGCTAAAATGTTTCTGCTGCACATAATACATTAGAGCCTTTTCTGCTTCAGTCCACTTTTGAATTGTCAGTTGCAACTTTTTCTTGACTTCTTTTTTGCGTTCCTTTGTCCTGTCCTCTTTGGTCACTTCTTGTTCAGCTTTCACTGCAGATTTTAAGTATTCCTTCACGACGATCAGCCATGCAGTCATCTTGATTAATTTGAACCAGTCTGAACAATAGTGAATTAAGCGTTCAACTCCTTCATGTTGAGTTGTCTCATTTGTACAAACATTCACAGGTCTTCTTACTTCTGGGTCATCACTTGGAATGTTCAAATTTTCACAACACTTTGGCCACTCATCTTCATCATTCCATAAGAAGTCTGGTCCTTGTAGCCATTGGTGAGTTTTCAGAAACTTTTCCATGTTCATTCCTCTTGATGCCAGATCAGCTGGATTTTGTTTTGTGTCTACATAACGCCACTGTTCCACTTCAGTTGCTTCATGAATTATCGCTAGATGGTTTGCTATAAAGGTGTGGAAACGTGTCGTTTTGTTTGATATGTATCTAATAACTGTCATGCTATCCGTCCAATAACATACTTGATGAACAAGGTAGTCCAGTTCTTTCATTATCATTCGACAAAGTTTCACTGCACTTGTAGCTGCGGTCAGTTCTAATCTGGGTACACTCACAGATTTCAGGGGCGCAACTCTTGATTTTCCTAACACAAATGCACAGTGAACATGTCCATCTTCATTCAGAAGTCTGAGGTAAAACACTGCTCCGTACCCAATCTCACTTGCATCAGCAAAACAATGAAGTTGACAGTTGACAATGTTCTTAAAATTCGCTGACTTATAGCATCTTGAGACGTTTATTTTCTCTAAATCTGGCAATTGCTGTAGCCAAGTATTCCATTTCACTAGCTCCTTAGCAGGAATTTCTTCATCCCAGCTTATCCCCCTTTTACACAAGTTCTGTAATATGGATTTGGCTGTCAAAATAAAGGGAGAAACAATTCCAAGGGGATCATAGACGGAACTAACGATACTTAAGATGCCACGCCTAGTTGCTGGTTGGTTGTTATTGTTCAACTGAAATCCAAGTACGTCCTTTTTTATGAACCAATATACACCCAAAGCACGTTCTACTAAAGTTTCATCACTTAAGTTCCACTTTTCAACTTCCTGAACTCTGTCTATTTCTGGCACAGATTCTAGGACTTGTTCACTATTGCTGATGAATTTGGTCAAATAAAATCCACCCATCTTGCACAAAGCTGAGACATCCTTAATCAAAGATACAGCAGTTTCCTCTGCAGCAACAGAAGTCAAACAATCATCCACATACATATTTCTTTTCACAGTATCTGTTACTATGGGGGCAAACTGTTCTTTGTGCTTTTCTGCAGTTATCTGTAAGGCGTAATGACAACAACTCGGTGATGAAGTTGCTCCAAATAAATGAACTGTCATCCTATACTGTAACGGTTTTTGATCTATATCTCCGTCCTTCCACCAATAAAAACGTAGGAAATTTCGGTCCTTTTCTGGCACTTTCACTTGGTAAAACATGGATTCGATGTCGCCCAATATTGCAATCTCTTCTTGTCGGAATCGCATCAATACGCCTAGGAGATTATTTGCCAAGTTTGGTCCTTGTAGTAACTGATTGTTCAAAGACACTCCCATGAATTTCGCGGAACAGTCAAATACCACTCTAATTTTATTTGGCTTTTTTGGATGATAAATTCCGTGGTGAGGTAAGAACCAAATTCTCCCATCTTCTTCATTTAGTTCATCTTCTGGAACCGGTTCTGCGTAGCCTTTTTGCAATATTTTGTCCATGAACTCTACATAGTGATCCTTAAATTGAGGATTCTTCATAAATTTACATTTTAGTCCTTCTAGCCTCTTCAAACACTGTGCAGAATTGTTTGGTAACACAACATCCTTTCTGCGGAATGGAAGTCCAATATGATAGTGGCCATTTTCAAACTGAATTGAATTCTCTACTTGCTGTAAAAAGTTTTTGTCCTCCAGTGAGTATTCCTTCTTATCATCCACCATCAGCTCAGCCTCTGGAAAGTCAAAGTTCATTATTTGTTTGAGAATATGATCAAGCTGTGTTCCGTCATTTTGAATACACACATGATTCACATCAAAGGTTGTTCTGTTTCTTATTATATTCCAAGGAATCCAGCCTAGTCTGGTTCTAGTTGCATGTGGTGAACCTCTTGGTCCTACGGCCAGCTCAAATGGTGTATAGGCATCTGGGACATTATTACCGATCAGAATCCCAATGTTTGCATCAACCTCTGGAAACGGAATTGACTGCAAGTGAGACCACTTTCTAATTTCTTCCTTTGTTGGGATCTCTTGATTGGAAACCGGCATTTGTTTTTTTGTGTATAACTTAGGGAGATCAATAAAGTGTTCTGCGGTGAGTCCTGATACTTGTAATCCATTCATCACATAAGTATTTAATTTCTGAGTGTCTCCCATAGTATTGATAGTAATCTGTGTCTTTTTACCATGTGCTCCAAGCTGGTACATGATATCCTCCGTGCAAAATGATACGCTACTACCAGAGTCGAAAAATGCGTATGTCTCCACAGTGTAAGGTTTGTTCTTGAGTTTTACACGTACAGGTATGATGGCCATTGCACATGATATATCCTCAGTTTCTTCATGACATCCAGAAGAAATTGCATTAACACTTGGCTTGGAATCATCTTTGCTAAATGTACTGCTTTCAAGCTGTTTCCCACACACAGAGACCTCTTCAACTAACTGATTGTTCTTGACTCTTTGATCCTCATTATGGAGGATAGTTGGATGTTGTCGCGAACACTCTGTACACTTAAGCCTTTTCCTACACTGACTACTAAGGTGTCCTTGCTTTAAGCATCCAAAACACAGTCCTTTTCTTCTAAGGTACACAATTCTATCATCCCTGTTTAGTTCCAAAATCTTTCTACATCTGTCTATTGTGTGATTAACACTATTGCAATAAACACATTTCTGCGTAGGGTATAACTTGGTTACTTCACAAGATACTCCCTTTGGTTTCTGTAGTGAGCTCGAGCCTCTTACTTGCTGAAATCCATATGTTGGATCATTCACCTTCTTAGCTTCCGCCTTTACAAAGTCCACAAAGTCTTTAAACTTAACTGTCCTATGAGCATCTTTTATTCGTAACACTACGTTTCTCCAGCGGTCATGTAAATGTACTGGTAATTTGCTCATAAGTCTCTTAATGTTTTCAGAATATTCCAAGACTCTTCCTGCATCAATACTCTCTGCACCATTCAAGCATTCAACAAGAAAGAGAGCGAATTCATCTAGGGATCTTACGTCTCCAGGTCGAATAGAAGGCCATTCCAAAGCTTTCCTAATAAAGGCTGTTGCTATGACGTCGGTGTCTCCATAACGCTCTTCCAACTGTCTCATGGCTGCTTCAAATGCTCTTTCTCCAGATAGATGACTGTATCCAGAGACCACTTTATTAGCTTCACCAAAAGTTAGCTGCTCTAAATAGTTCATTTTCTCGTCATCGTTATCACAGTTTATCACAACCTTTGCATTAAACTGACGTAAGAATTTCCTATAATCCAGAGGATTGCCACCAAACTTCTTTATTTCTGGTGTTGGTTTTCTCAAATGTTTCACCACAGCTTGAACTGATGCAGATGAACTTGGAAATTCTCCCCTTTCATAACTCATGGGATAAAATGTTTCTGCATTTGGGTTGAGTCTTAATGGTCCAAGTGTGGGTCTCTCTGTATCGCGGTATCTAAATGGTTCTGGTGGTTTTTCTCCTCTATGTCTGTCTGTCTCTCGGTATCTGAATGGTTCTGGTGGTTTTTCTCCCCTATGTCTGTCTGTCTTTCGATATCTGAATGTTTCTGGTGCTCTATATCCTCTTGTATCTGTGTGTACTTGGTCAAATTCACTTTGTTCAAATTTATCAAACACTTTAGTTTTTGCCTTAGCCATCGCAATGTTTGTTTCTATTTCGAGCTCTTCTTCTTCCATCTTGAGTGCCACTTTTGCTAACTCTATCTCTTTCTTTTTCTTTAAGGATTCTTTCTTTGCTTCAAGCTCAGCCCTTTTTTCTTCTTCTGCCAACTTACGAGAAGATACAGCACTAACAGAAGAAAATTGTCCATGACCAAAAGATCTGTTGTCACCATCTTCATGTAATAATTTAGTTTCTTGGTCTTTTATCTTTGCTTGCGACGCAAAATATTCTTGAAGCGAAGTCTTAAAGTTCTGTAAAAATGTTTCTCTTTCGTCGTATCCTTTCAGATATTCAGCTAAGTCGGTTTGATTTAACTTCCTTGAATGGTCATAATGACGATCGAGAAAATCATCGTAGGAGTCCATCCAATCTCTATACTTCTGTCTTATCATCTCTTCTGGTTCCTGATTATTCACCATTCCCGTTATTCTTGTACATAGTGACTTAAGACTACTGAAGGATTTCTCGATTTGTTGCTCACTATAAATTCGTCCTTTTTCAGTGAGTTTTCTAATTCGAGCTCCATTTTCACTGTGAGTCTCCTCAATGTTCTCCTGTTCCTCGTTCTGCTCACTGATCTCCTGCTTTTCCTTTGGCTGTTCCTTAGTTTCTGGATCCTGTTTGTCAGCCATCCTTCTGATGATTCTGTCCAAATTTGTCCAAATTTGTCAATAATGTAGCCTTCCAAGTTTATACCAGTAAAAAAGTCATATTCACACCGATTCTAAATTTTAATCCGAAGATTCCAACATGTCATATCGATGAGATTGACTACAAAAAACAATGAAATAACAATATAATGCATGCGTACTATACATGAGTTATTTTTCCTGAATTTATACATAAATATCTTTACTATAATTCCTATAATTCCTGTATTATAAATTCTGAAGTTCTATAAGACTTGAAAGATAAAAATATACAAAATAGCAAGATCGAGAATTACTTTCGTTATGTACTGTACATTGTGAACACATGGATATGTTTACACTTCAATATTCAAAGTTATGCAAAATAAAGTAAAAATACTTATGCAAAATATACTCATGACATTGTTTAAATTAAATAAATACATACCAAATTTGTTAGACACTGGTATACTAGTCGTACAGAATAACAAACAATAGGCTACAAAAAAATCGGGCTCAACTCCAATATAAGGATAAAGTAGTACTTTGACTGAAACAATATTAACATATTCATACATCACTGTATATTTCAGTAATGTTACGGAGTGAATTATTTCTACATTCCACACATGAATTTACTGTCGACCAGGGACAGGTTGACAGTTGACAGTTGACACTTCCCTTGTGTTCTAGTGTCGACCGGGGACAGGTTGACAGTTGACAGTTGACACTTCCGTTGTGTTTTAGTGTCGACCAGGGACAGGTTGACGGTTGACAGTTGACACTTCCCTAGTGTTCTAGTGTCGACCGGAGACAGGTCGACAGTTGACAGTTGACACTTCTCTTGTGTTCTAGTGTCGACTGGGGACAGGGTTGACGGTTGACAGTTGACACTTCCCTAGTGTTCTAGTGTCGACCGGGGACAGTTCGACAGTTGACAGTTGACACTTCTCTTGTGTTCTAGTGTCGACCGGGGACAGGTCGACGGTTGACAGTTGACACATCCATTGTGTTCTAGTGTTGACTGGGGACAGGTTGACGGTTGACACTTTCCACATGATCTAGTGTCGACCGGGGACAGGTCGACGGTTGACAGTTGACACTTTCCATATCTTCTACTGTCGGCTGGGGACACTAACCCTAATCACATCTATAAATGCGAAACTAACCCTAATCACAGCTATAAATGCGAAACTAACCCTAATCACAGCTATTTATACGAAACTAACCCTAATCACAGCTATAAATGCGAAACTAATACTAATCACAGCTGTTTATACGCGAGACTAACCCTAATCACAGCTATTTATACGAGACTAACCCTAATCACACTTATGAATGCGAAACTAACCCTAATCACAGTTATGTATGCGAGACTAATCTTAATCGCAGTTATGTATGCGAGACTAACCAACTGTCAACTGTCCCCGGTTGACAGTAGAAATGATTAAATGTCAACTGTCAACTGTCCCCGGTCGAAAGTAGAAATAGTTAAAAGTTTCAAGTAATAATGCATTATAAAAGGAATTTATAGGCTTTGATACTATTGAATTGTATATTCATATCTTGTACTCAATGCTTTTTAAGTTAATAGAGTAAATCTACATGGATATAGATTTTTGAAATGTAAAAAAATGAAAATCCCCCCCCCCCCACGTTTCCTTGATATATGTTGTCTCAGTGAAATGGAAAAGTAAACAGTAATAATTTTCAATAAATCTTGTAAATAATAAATATCGAAAGCAGGTCAGAACAGGACCAATTTAATCTGACTTGGTTGGGCAAAAGGGCAAAAAACATTTAATACTTCCCAAGAATCATAACCATAGGTATGAGATTGTACATACTTTATATATTTATCTCAATCAGCAACCTTATTTTAATAAGTAAATATTGTAATTAAATTCACTGCCAGTGTATTGTTTGGTTTCTCTATTTTCTAAACTTAATTAATTTTTTTATGGAACTATAGGTATTGTCTATTGGTTATGTTGTCGGGGGCTTTGTTTTGAAATACCACGAACACCTCCTTAGTGACGACAGCATTGAGGCGCTCAATGTAGTGTCTATAGGATCCCTGCCTGTTGGATCATTCCTCAATGCCCTGTTCCTGTCTCTGATTCCAACCATTATTGTGCACACAGTTAACGCTGCTGTTACATTCTGTGGAATTTGTACGCAAAATAAAAGATGCTTGATTGCAGTAAGTATGTCATTAAAAATGAAATTATTTGAAGTTTGCTCGGAAAATGAAAGTCTGTTTTGTGACGTAATACTACTTTACGTGTCATCAGTGACAAAGAGTATTTCTCTTTCTATCTAGAGTGCCATCATAAACGTCATTTTGGTGATTTTTAACTTAATTGTCATTGCTCTAATTTCCTGGTTGCTCGATGAGGTATGTACTACATAATACATATAGTTCTTTGAAAAGTCAAAATATCGGGTGTCTCTTTTAAGTCAACGGAAACATTATAATTAGCTGATTTTTTTTAAATTACGGATGATTTTTAATGGTGATAATGTTTACGTTATTCACTCTCTTATTTTTTAGCCTTAAGAAACTTATTTCGAATTAATAAATGGATAACATTGTATTTGTAAGGGAAAATCTTTTTTATTTTATAGCTTTATTCCACAATCCTTGAATCACTACGATGGAACTTCCCCGGAGAAATAAACCAGTTAACCATAGCTGTAAGATTTTAAAAACGCAAAATCGAATGAATTATGTTTGAATAATCTGATTTATTATGGTTCAATATTCAAGTGCATTATGCAAATCAGCATGTGGCGATGATAAACATTTAAAGTATGAAAAGTAATTGTACATACCGTATAATGAGGGTCGCAAATTATTTTTTTCGACTTAAAAAATAGTCCTATTGTTGAGTCAACTAAAGAACAGAACTAGACACAGGAAGGAAAGTATATGTAATACATAAATCAGATTTCTATAACTTCAATTTTCACTCCCCTTTATGAATCTATTCCCGGTAAAAAAAAAGAATAGTTGCACGAAAGACAAAGTGTGATCCAAATATATATATTGTTGTAGATATAAATATTCTTCAATTGCTATTCCTTTAAAAATTTGTAAGACAATATTTACTGTAGAGTTAATATAATGTTTTCATGATCTGAAAGTTTTATATCTTTTCCAGATGAAATGTTGCGGATTCGACATAAAATCTACCGCCTGTCCGTACGATTGTAATACCTATATTGCTGACACTATTAATACTTACGGTAGTTCTTACATTGCTGTCCTCGTCATTAATGTCATTGTATCTGTAAGTCTAAGTTACATTACTTGAGATTAATTTCAATATTTTAAAAATATTTTATATAAAAAAGACAAAATCATGTAAGGAAAAACATTCTGCATGATTTGTTTTGATATGTTTGTCATGTTTACGCCTTAAAAAATAGTTTTCAAGATATCATTTTCTTAAATCAAAAGTTCAACGTTTTCACTATGGTAAGATAAAGTAAAAAAAAATTCACATCTGACAAAGTTTTCATTGTAGAAATTAAAAGTTTTTTTAACAAAGTAATCCAAACTGTTAACCTTCAAATTGCAGTTAATTTATATAGATTTTTTGTAAAGGTCCTTGTCATACTCACATTTCTAGAATTTCTATGTTATAGCTTGTTTATTTGTAAATATGACCTTAATAATTGATATATAAATTGGATTTATTTTCATTTTATTGTTTAATAATATTAATAAATAATCCCTAAATTTATTTCCTTTTTCATCATTTTTGTAATTTTTCCTTGACATTTATTTATTCTATAGGTTATTATGATTGTTGGCACGGAATATCTACACAGATTTATAATCGCCAGATCACATGAAAAGAATAACCAGCCACTTGGGAATGTTATTGAAAAATCGGAAATGCACAAAATAAAGAATGGAGTTTGTGCTAATTTTTGCTCGCTTGTCAAAGTTCACTGGACGGAGTATGTAATACTCGTAACAGCTTTTTCAAAGTCTGCAATATGCAAGAACAGATTTGATGCCTATTTATTTTTAGATCTAGAACATGCTTTGAAAAAATGTGCATTTAGTTAAAAAATAGATCAACTGATACTGCATATATATATTTTCTTTTCTTTCCAGGAGTAAACTAACTTCTTGTTTTGGATTTCTAACATTCTCCTCAATGGTTTGTAGCACATATGCATACAGAAATACGTAGGTTAAATTTTCATAACCTTGCCTGTATATAAGTGTGAATTGCAATGCCATCAGAATAATATTTTATTTTATTTTGTATTACACAGAAATGTTAAGAAATTAGAAGTTCCACAAATAAGTTATTTTACCTAAACGGCAATGGTTACATAATAATGGTAAATTTCAATGACATCAGAATGATCTTTTGTTGTATTTTATATTCTTAGATATTGGAGTTAGGAATGATCCTGGCCATAATCTTCATCAGATACAACTATTACGATATAACGATGACTACAGAACTCTATAGATTTACCAGAGAATATCATATAAACATGGGTTATCTTAAGGACGCTCTGTTGATTACCGTCGTCTGCCTCCTCATCTGGTCAATCATTTCCAAAGCCTTGTGCCTTTTTGGAATGTACTTCAAAAGGAAATTTTTATTTCTGATAGTATGTGTGTACATTTACTGTAATCAATAAGCTTCAATATGAATGTATCCTTTCCAACAATATTTAAAACATTTACATTTCTTTATGATTGTATTACAATTACTTCATATAGCTGCAACAAGATATCCTTCTCCATTTTCTTTAACTGAATTTATTTGGAGAGGGCTACAGATCCAAAATATCTCTGTAATGATGCAAAACTTAATAATACTGGCTACTTCAAGTAAACTACTTCTTTTGTATAAGATAAAAAACTTACTAATATTGAGACCCCATCACTTAATCAGAGAGTGATCTTTTTGTGCCAGCACCCACTGTGACACAGGACCTCGGTTTATTATACAGTTTAATCTGAATGATCGCTCATTTCTCGAGTGAATCACTCAAACCACCGCACCACGCAGGCTAAACCAAGCATAGGTAGGGAATTACCCTCGCACATGCATCATTACGGGGATACAATTGAGTTGTACATAGCCTCCTAAATTATTGAAACTTGCATCATTTATGCAATTAAAGCGGTTATTTCTTACAGAACATTATTACAGACATTGTTGTTCTGACAGCTGAGTGTGTCGTTTTAGTTTTTGCGTCATACCTTCTCCGAACTGTACGTATATCCTTTTTCACTATTGCTTTGACTATCGTAAAATCTATACTTTATAAATGAACATCTTTCAACATAATGCTAATTTTGTTTCAGTTATATTGCTGTTTCTGGAATAATATTGACATGTGTCAGTTCGACTATGAAGACACCACGCCGATTCCGGTAAAATTAGAATGATAATATATACAGTATATGCTCGTATTAACTTCATAAATAAAAAAGGACGAATTAACTTTGAACTTTTAAACATAATTATAATGAAGAAGAATTAAAATAAAATAAATAAAGAAGGTATTAACAGGGTTTAAATATTATCATGGTATCGATATCCATTCTATTTGCCACAATTTATGACTTTGACACCTTTGGGATGTTTTCAGAGAGTTGGAAGTATTATTTTCTTTCAAATGAGGACTTTCTTAATATGAAATACAGATTGCTATCAATTTGTGATATAAACATTTTGACATTTAATTGACAGATGTGCACCACAAGCTGGGACAATGCTGCACTGTTTATATGGTGTTCGACTGGAATACTTATCTTCCATATATTTTTAAAAGTAAGTTTATTAAATAGAAGATAACTTATAAGCAATGCAGCAGATATCGTAAAAAGTACCAGCTATTTTTCTTTTATTTCCAGGTTCTTTTCGTTGGCATGGCAGATCGTGTTTACAAACATTATATGTCTACCCTTGCAATGAAAGATGACGAAAAATCAGTGGAGATTCATGGCTTTTTCCTAACAGTATTTTCAAAAATGAGAAGGTAAGAATACTTCTCACCGGACCGTCACGATAGTTCAGTCGGTAGAACGCTCGCACTGTGATCGGAGAGTCACGTGTTCGAATAACAGACGCGACTGACCGATAAAAAGTAGGAAGCAAGTTTTCTATCGCAAGCGCCCAGCACCTTTATGTTTAAATCGCGGAATTTCGAATGAGACCTTTGAAACATAGCCCCCTGTTACGGTAGAACCTTACGGCTCAATGGCCCTGAGTGCCGAAAGGGACATGAAAACCGAAGCCCCCTCTTACAGTAGGCGTTGGAACAACTTTTCAATTGTCTATCTTGAATTGGTTGTTTGTGACATCTTAATATGAATTATAAATTCTAGAGCATGACGTAAAAACATACAAAAATCAATCGGTCTTCTCCCTGCTTTTAGTAGCGATTACACATAAATTTCCTATTTTCAATAACCTTAACCGAATAGTAATTACCAAAACCAGAACAGGTAGCACTGTCCAAAATAAGAACAGGGATATTTGTAATTGTGCGAAAAATTCAGATTTTAGTTGACGTATTTTTTTTCTGAGTACGTTCCATTGGTCGCCATTTTGGATTGTTTGATTGATTGTTGTTGTTTTACGTCCCACTCAAACAGAATTTTTCAGAACCACTTTGATTGAATAAAATAAAAATTATATATAGACGTCATCATACACCGATTAACAGCTTCATATTTTTTTTACCTTTACTCGGCACTCATAGCCATTGGACAGTAAGAAATCTTTATCGCAGTTGTAAAGATTATAACAAAGGTCTTCCATCAGAACAATCATTGCACTAACTTAAGTCATCTTCTTTGGCTTTTCAGATATAGTGCCTAAAATATGTTTTATATACGGTGATTTAAAAAATCTCAACGTTCGAAAACAATTCATATTCTTACACTTAGTGGTTTGAGGGAAGTATATACATGTATGAACTACTTGTAATTCTCATACAAAATGTAATCAATATAAAATATCTGCAGTAAAATCAGAAACACTTTACTCACAAATGTTGAAACTATTCAAACATGTAAAACATCTTATACTCTAATAATCATATATAGTTTCCTAAAAAAGACTTTTTGCATTATTGCATATGTAAAATAAATGAATGTTGTTCTGTGGCTGAAAGAAGGAATATTTTTATTTTTCAGACATCCCTTCATTTCTATCATAGTCGGACTTTCAATTCTCATAACTGCAAGTATTACTTATTTTGGGATATATGCTTCCTTTTCACTTTAGACCCTTTGCCAAACATGCTTAATATTTTATTTTTCTCCTTTCCAGGTAGTGGACTTGATAATCTTTTGTGGACTTCTAGTTATACGATACGGTTATTCTTCTTACAAACTGTTGAGAAGAATTATGGACGCTATTTCTCTCGGACCTTTAAACATGTCCACAAATCGGGACAACACCATTCTGATGATGCTAGCTGTGACCAGCTTCTCATTTTTCCTACAAGTTGGAAAATTTATTTCTCTTGGATTGCAAAAACCAAAGGCTACATTGTTGGTAAATTCTCAAGTTTAGTTTACCAAAAAAGAAGATACTATTCTCTGTCTCGTTAAATTAATCTAAAAAAATATTTGAATGTTTAATCTTCTTTAAAAAATATTATATAAAGAACAATTTAAATCAAATAATTTTAGAATTAACTTTTAATAATTACAGATTAAATTGTTTTATTAATTGAGAAAAGTAAGAGGCCCATGGGCTACATCGTCAAGTAACTTTTGTGAAATTCTTTATTTTTTATTAACCACCCCCCCCCCCCCCCCGTCTTGAGATATAATTAAAATTTTAGGAAGATTTTTCCTATATATTTCTATATAGCTGTCAGTCATGATTTTAACAATTTAAAATTTACAACCCAGAAAAATTTCACAAAGTTTTTAAAGATTTTATATATTTCTATTTGATTATTTTATTATATCTTTATATGGAGCTCTTCTGCTAAAGGAGATAAAAATAGTCTAAAATGGCCACAACCACCCAGCCCTTTTAATCTTCTTTAAAAATTATTATATAAAGAACAAACTTTTAATAATCCAATAATTACGGATTAAATTGTTTTATTCATTGAGAAAAAAAAACTATGAATCAGATATCAGAATTTATATCCTCACGTTTTAATAAGTAAATTACATAAAACATTTAAAATGAATATATACACGATACATTTAATGCTATTCTTCAGATACTGTGGAAAGAAGTAGTGGTTGTTGCTCTGCTAATTGCGGTTCTTGGTTTAATATCTGTCCAAGCAAATCTAGTAAGTATGGTTAGCTATTTTATTTTTTTTACTTTTTTGTAGATCTTTAGCAATGAATTATTCTGTAAAATTGCTATGAATTCACTAATCTGCCATGTTTTAGTTCATTTATCAAGTGTGCTTATCCCTTCTTTTTATTGGTATGATAAAACAGTTAAATATCAAGGAGGGGGTTAGTAAAATCCTTGTTATCCTCCACCAGGACTATTTCAGGACCAGTACTGCTTCGCCCCGGAAATACTCTTGATCTTGAAACCCAAATCATTATAACTCCCTAAACGCTATCTTATCAGAAAGAAATTTGTTTTGTGGTTTAATAAGTAACTTAATCTGAGAGAGGGAATACGGTTTTTACTTTTAAATATCAAGGTTCAATTTTGTAATGATTGATTAAAAATAAACAATAAGTATTAAAAACTTTGAAATACAAAGCTTTGTTTGTTCAGCAGACAAAGAAATTAATGTTAAGTAATTTGAAGTTATTTATATTCAATTTTAGTCGCCCATTTGGCACAATGGTTAACTGGTTTGCTATAGAGTCGCGAAGTAAATAGGCGATCTTTACGTCGCGGCTTCGAATCCCACTGTGGGACGTGGAGACTGGTCCTTCAGATGAAACCATATAAACCGAGAAACTGTGTCAAAGTAGGTACTGGCACGAAAAAGATCCCTCCCTGCTCAATGGCCTTGAGTGCCGAGAATAGGACAAAATTTGCAGCTCTCCACCGGTATGTGGTGTCGTTTCCATACGAGTGAAAAATTATCGAGAGGGACGTTAAACAATATACAATCAATCAATCATATCTAATTTTAAAGCAAGAAATACAGGGAACAATATATTGATATAAATATTCAATGATAATTTTATTTATACTAATCTATCATCATGTAAAGGTAATACACTGAAATATAGAAAATATGTTTTGTCAGTCACAACATCCATCAATGATGGAATGAATTGCATGAAATGAGAAGTATTTCTATACCCAAATAATTTTATCCAACTCTTATAAGTGATGAATGCTTGCTTGACAGCCTCTCAGAAATTAAAACTAAATTTCGTTTGTTTGAATGCTTGCATATTTGTTTTATGTCATTTTCAGGTTGTTTGCTGCAATGCTGCGAGTGAAAATTGTTATTTTACCTATGAAATTGATTATTATACAAATCGAAATGCCAGTGACTTAGTAAGTATCTTTTTTTCTAATTTATGGATTAATACATTTTGAAAACATTTGAACTTGACATCATTACTATCTTATATATCTCTTAAGCAAATTCAACTTATACAAATGCATAACATTATGTTTTAGTTCTGCGACAGAGAAAATCCGGATGTTTTTAGTGCCGTCGAAATAGAGACCTGGTTAATGCTAGGATTCACGCTGTTCTTGATTTTAATGCAGGTAAACGAAAAACGTTTTATCTATTTTTTTACATTTATATTTTCTATATATTTTTTACCTTTCAAATGCTCTCTTTTGTCAGGTTGTGTGTACCATTTTAGGTTATATTTACTATAAACGATCTCCAGAGGGATATCTAGGGATTTTTAAAGGAATCGTTGAGCTTTTCAAGAGTATGTGGTTTGAAATAACAAATAACAGGTAATACACCGTTTAATACGTACATATATTGCTTGGTAATACATCGTAATGCCGATATTCCGATATATTGCGATCCGTTGGCAAAATTATTTGTAACACTGTTGTACCTCGGAATTAGGGAAACGCTGTTGCATCGGTTATGTATATTGTGCATATAAATAGCAGTAAATGAATAAAAAAATATATTTTTAATTTTTTTTACTAAATATACTGCAATACACCTACAATGCAGTTCAAAAATATCAGAGTATAATGTTTTACGAAATTTCAAACAAATATCCAGCCTTGTTAAGCACAAACTTTACATAAATTTAATTTTTATGTACTATATTTGGCTGTAATGCGCTTTTTTAAACACCAAATAAATGTCGATTTTTATTTGCTTTCTTGAAGTGTTTGATGCAAGTAATTCTGAATATGTACTCTATTAAATTGAAGTTGCAAGGGAAGTTTCTTTCCTTAAAGGGCACTTCATACTGTGTATAATACACGACCAAATGTAATACACGTTTACAGTTTCAGAAACGAATTTTTAAAGGACAATTAAGCTAAATTACAGAAATTATCGATTGCTTTGATATCTGTATCGTAGTATTTTATAGTGGAAACTATATTCTTTGCAGGTTGATTAATGACAAGACGATGCCAAATTACAGAAAACAGTTCGGAATATTTTGTTTACTGACTGGATTCAATATGGTATTAAAGAGCACAGTATATCAATATGTAGAAATACTTTAAATGTAATGTGTCCATATTTTCAAATGTAGGCAAATGCTGTTTTGTAATAGATAAATATTACAGCAAGGGAGGCAAAATTTTGGAAAATGCTAGAGTAAACAATATTCAGTACATAATGTATATCGGTCTAACTATCCATGGATATCTTTTCTTTGCCGGCGAGGCCTGAACCATTATGCAAGTTACAACTAAAAATAAAAGCTGATTAATCTTAATTTTTTCTAATCTTGAATGATATTATAAAATAGACAACACATATGTTCCTTGGTACACTAGTTTTTAATAGTCATATAGCTTTTTTTTAAAAATGAACATGTATGAATAAAAAGGAATCTTAGAGATTACGAGCAGTGAGACAAAAATTAATTAAGAGTCATATAATTTTTAAGTTAATCTTGTTTTTCATTAATTTTCCTTTTTATGGAAAATCGATTTTTTTTTGATTGGTTAGAAGAGCATTCAGTTTGTTATGAATTGGATTATGTTGAATAATTCTTGGCTGTTATATATTTAGATAGTGTCCACAAATAAAGATATTTTAGAGCACTAGTGTTTATTTTTCATGTTAACTTTACTGCTTTTAGAGTGTTACTTTAAGATATTTATTGACTGTTTTTTTTTAATGTTACTTAACCATATTAACTTGACTGATAGGAGCCAAATTTTGCTTCTAATATTGATTAAATTTTCATGAGTTTATTTTTTTTCCGTTCTAGATCCTAGAATTCACTTTTGCTGTGTCCATTTATGCCTATTATTTCACCGAGGGCGACTCTTCTGGAATGTTGCGACTTCTTAATTGGTTTTCTTACTTTCGATACAACATGGAATCTGCATACAAAGGCGTGGCTTATACTATGATGGTTATAATTCCATTGGCTATTGGCCTTCACATCGCTGCTTTCTGTTGGCTTCTAATGAAGAGAACAACAGTTGCATTATACATAGTAAGGCTAACTTACTTAACTTTAACCTTAAGCACAGTAAACCTTATTTATTTTGCTTTATCTTTCATTAGGTACTTACATTTTTTATATAACTGCAAATATCATATAAAGAAAAGTGCTAAAATTTCTCTTTATTGTATTTAGATATTAGGGTTTTTGTTGTTTTGGACTGTTGGGGAGGTCATAGTTTTGCGTTATGCTTCTTATAGTTTACAATTGGTAAGTAAATATGTATAATATATATATATATATATATATATATATATATATATATATATATATATATATATATATATATATATAATAAATCAGATGGGAATTTCTTAGAACTCCAATGAACTTTTTAAAACTCTTTTTTGAAAAGTCCGTAACATTAATAATTGCGATTCTTTTCACATCATAAAACTCTCCCTCATCATACTTAGGCATACGACTGTTCCGATTCCCTTTACTCTTATAAAACCACTGACTGGTGGTGGCTCCAGCCATCTCCAAGTACCGTAAGTACTAAAGTACTGAATGCTTTTTCTGAAAGAATGTGGGCGCTTTAGATGGAAAATTTGCAGGAACCACAGACAGGAAACATTATTGGTTGAATTGTCTATGAGCCCTTCGACTTCTGAAAACGTACAGACTAAAACAAAAGTTGTTCCGTGTTTCGTATAAATAATAATATTTACAATGACCCTCGAGTACAATTTAAAACTGCTTAATAATGGTACATTTTATCATTATTTTCTTTATCAAAAGGGACACTAAAGGACAAATTTAATATAAGTAATTAAATACTAGAAACTGTCTTTAAGTAATTAAATACTCTCATATAAATATCGATGTAAAAGAATGTATTCGTGAGGTATTGCAATATATTTAATATTTTCATTTATGATAATGATTCACACAAATGTGAATAAAGTCAATCAATCTTTACTACTCAGATTCCTCATCAGAATCAGTTTCTAGAACAAGATCCGCTGCATCACAGAGTGAGGGTGTGTAAACATCTGGTGTTGCCTTATAGTTGTTATGTCTTGCAAATGCAAGATACCAGATAACTGAGGAAATGTGGGCACAACAACCAACTGTTCTAGAGCCTCCCTTGCATTCACAGTACCAGCCTGTGACATGGTCCCGGGAATATTCTACCCATATATTATAGAGCCTTTTCGAAGTGTGTCAGGACTGTATTCGTGCATGTAATAGATCTGGTTCTACACAGGAAAGATCAATTTTGTAGTCCCCTTCTCCAAGGTGCTCAGCTGAGTATTTCCTAGCCTGTTTGAGTTGATACACTCCGAATGTCAACATACGAAGTTGTTCCTCAGTTAAGGACGGGAAATGTGGTAGAGCATTTTTAGCCTCAATGCTTATCCAGTTTTTGGATTTTTCTCGGAACTTAAGCTTTACTGGTTCTCTCTCTCTCTCTCTCTCTCTCTCTCTCTCTCTCTCTCTCTCTGGTAGAATATCATCATCCTCTGGATTATTTGTTTTTAAAGGAGGTCTGTATTTGTTGATAATTGCAATATAATGCGAATGTAATCTTTAATGTGGGGTATTTGGCTGTTGCAAACTACATTGTCTAAAAACCTCCATTTTTTAATATATTGCAGCCTCAACAACCCAACGCACTTTGGTGACGAAACGGGACATATTTGCTTCACTGGTGCTATGCTGTTTCAGAGATTTTTCAAGAAATGCAGGCATATGTGTCTTGAAGCCCAACTCATTCAAAAAGGAAATTGCATCTCTGAAGCCGCGATCCACTATTAGAACATCATCTTCTCTAAGGAAATTCATTATACTATAAGAATTTGATGTTGCTATGTGTTTAATGATCGATGCATCATTGTTTTTACCGTTTGAAAGATATGGGCCCATAACGTCAACTATGTAACCGTCGGTGGAGGTTATGACAAACGGTTTTACTAGGGGTCTGTTTTTGTGCAAAGAATATGTGAGTCTTTGAAACCGATATGCTGAACTTTTTTGTATGAACACATAAGTCCCATCCATAACAAGGATAACTGTTTCGGATAGTGGGTCACTAAATAATTGTTTCGCGATGTCGGTGGTGTGGTCATCCACTATAGATTGGCGTGATATATGTTTAAAGCCTAAGTTAGAAGGAACAAAGTCCGTTACGAGTGCTCTTCGAGTTTGCTGAATTATTCGAGCTACTTTTCGACGACTGCTAAACCCACAGAGTGTTGCAATTACGGCATTGGAAAGGCCACATTTCATTTTAAAGAGGAAAATGCCGATTGCGTTTCTAATTGATCTTTCCCTAGAATTACGCATAGAAGTGACATGAAGATAAAGATCATTGAATTGATCTCTTGATATCCCTAACAGTGATCTGTAATCTTCATCTGACAGTGTATGGTCATCAAAAGACAATCGACGACTCTGAGAAGAAGATGCAACTTTCCTTAGATCATCGATCAATTTCACAATTTCACCAGAATTCAAAACAGTAGATCTTTTTCTAAACATTGACTTGTGGATGCATGTTGAGGATTTTATGTGATTGCTTGTTAAATGCAGAGGACAGCACCGAGCGCCAAGTGGAACAAGAATACCAAAGTTAATAAATATGTCCATTCTTGCCTCTCTCGGCATACATTTTAATAAACCTTTCTTCCTACAAATTATACAGCTTTTATTGCACTTCCCCCCAGAAACTAAGGGCAAGTCAATACTGGTAACTGTGCTGCTCACTTTTGGGCTATCCTGTACCTGTAAACGTGCTCGTGATAAATTCTGCTTCAGCGATATCCTGCAGGTGTCGCATATTGTACTTACATCTGAGGTAACAATACCTCTTGCATGAAGAACTTTGGCAACGTTAACACTGACTTTCCGTTTTCTTTTGCTTTTTAGTTGTCTTTCACAAACGCAACACCCGTACTTCTCGGGTGACACCATGTTTATGTTCACATGTCAACGCGTTATATAATGTAAATAGTTCTATTTTTTTTTCTTTAAAAAAAAAAAAAAAAAGCCATATGAAATCTAATTAGAATTTTTATATGTCTTAATCAAATGTATTTAATATTAAAACATAGAAAAAAAATCTAATCTGCTCATATTCGAACCAAAAACTTTTCATACATAAGTTACGAGTCCGGAGGCAAACCAGTGTAGCTATCCGACACACAGTATATCTCCGTTTGTAATCATCATTTAAAGCGACAGTCCTATACGCTTGAACTTAGTCTATTTTCAAGTTAAAAAATATTTTGAAAAAGTGTATTTTTTGTTATCTGTGGGTCGTCTCTCCATTTTTTCAAAATATGTACTAAATTATACGATGAAAAATACATTCATAACGCATTTCAAATTTGTGGAGAGAAGACCCAGAAACAACAAAAATATTAAAAAATGGCTCTAAAAAGGCTGGTTTTTGGACCAAATCAGCCGTATGACCATATTCATATGCTTATTCTTATAAAACCAAGTAAATATCAGGATATATTTGCCTGTTTTACATGTACTTAGAACATAACCAATGTCTAGATTTGGAAAAAAAAATTATTATTCAAAAATATTTTTTCTCTCTCCCTATGTTATCCGATTCCTGCCGAATCGCTATCTTAAGCGCCCACTTTCTTTGTAATATCCATACTTTATAAATATGACATTTTTGTATTTTCAATATTACAAACGATGAAAACTTTATAAAGTACATTTGTTTTCTTATATTTCAGCTTTGCGACCAATACAGCTCGAGGATGTTTAATCAATGTGGAATCATTATAGGATACCTTGTGGTTCATATAATATTAAATGTAAGAAGAGAAAATTGCTCTCTCTCTCTCTCTCTCTCTCTCTCTCTCTCTCTCTCTCTCTCTCTCTGGTAAAGATCTTGAAAGATCCTGGCCTTCCTCGCCTTCCTCGAGTAATCTCTTAAATATATACTCTTAAACTTACTATACTTTATATGTGATGTATGTTTGCTGCACACAGAAATGCGATGTATTCTTTAGTGTTGACTCAAATGATAAGGCATTTTTTTGTTTAGATCGGCATGACTCTTCTTTTGGATGCAATGTATCCCCACGTTAGACAAGACCATAACACTAACAGGCTCTCCAAAAGGTTGTGGATACGATTATTAGAAGTGTAAGTGTCTCTCTTGCGACTTACATTTAAATAATTTCGTAAGTCCTGATCCCACCTCTGACGTTTTGGAGGTCCGTGTTTGCTCTGATCCTTTTTCGTATTGTATTATGGACTTTTGATCTTAAATAGTGTTCTTTATGTCCATATGTTTCATATTACTTTGAACAATATAAAACATGGAAGCATTTGATTTGTATTGATAAATAGCTTTATTTTCAAAAGTGATATGTTATTTTTATGGCATTTACAAATTCAGCTACTTCATATTTTTGTTTATACTCTGCTGGGTGTAGCGTCGGTTAAACAATTTGAGTGATATAATAAACAATTATATATATTTATTTCTGAATAAAAATTATGTCATTGATAATCAGTTTGAAATAAAGGTATCAGCATTGTGTCAATACATAAATTATTATTGTATAAATAGTAATTCTGAATAAAATCCACACTATACTTTTTAAGTTAGATTGCAAAAATAGTTGGATATTATTATAAATAACAAAAAAGTGCAAGAAGCATAATAATTAGACTTTCTAAGCTTACTCTCTGCAATCTTTCAAAACTTATTTTAAAAGGTACTTGGGTATTGATACCTGGGAGGCAAGTTTACTAGAGCATACTGTAAAAAAAACAAATCTCTCTACTTGACATATAACATGACTTTAATTGATTTGAATAGAAAGAAGCAAAATATTGTGAAAAAAATCAACATTGGAGTTCACACACTCTCACAGGTAAGTACTGATATCTAATTTTTCTACGTGAAATTTGAGCATTTGGTATGAAATTTGTCATATAAAAATTACTTTTAACAAACCATTCAACAGATTCTCAACGCAGTCATTTGGATAGGACTTATCCTTATGGTGCTCATTCCCGGGTATATCCACACTGACCATGTCTGTTCTACAGCCAAAAGCAAGAAAGATACGGTGTTGGGAATGGCCTATGCGTTAATAGCAGTTGTTCCGCTTTCTTCTATAAATCAAATACTTGGAATAATCTGTTTAATAAAACAAAAGAAAATGGCTTTAAATTTGGTAAGATAATAGGTGACCATGTTTCTGTAGTAGTTTTTGAAGATGATTACATGAAAACATTTCAATTCAAAATCACTAAAAGTAATCATTCAGACTATTCGTGGATTTTTTTCATTGAAGTTGCATGTTTTAGTGATTAAGACAATTTTTAAACTAAATATATTCACTAATCAATAATTAGATATTAAATTCACAAGAAACAGACACTTCTTCTTCTATAATAATGTTTTCCTTAATGTAAATCCAAAATGGTTAATAGAAAATTCCTATTTCAATTAATGTTGATTTACTTTGTGTTGAAATTATCTCTTTTATTTTTTTTTTCAGAAGTTATATTTCATCAAGAAAATATATATTTATATATTTTACCTATTTCAGTACATCGTATTTTCGGTGATCTTCACAATAGTGCACTTTGTGTTCCTGATTTTTTCTGCTATTTTCCTACACGCCGTAAGTATTGTTTCATATTTTTAACATGAACGACAGTAATACGACCGACTATGATCCTTAAATATGATGGACACACAAGTGGAAACAAAGTTACTGCTTTCTTATGTTTAAGCTTCTGAGGAGGACTAAATTCCCTTTATATTGTGTTTGTCCTTGATCATGAATACAAGGACATGCATACAAGAATGATGCAATATGATTGTTTCGGACCTAAATTCTTGTTTTCTCGTAATCTTACGTTCTTCTGTCAGTCAACATTGCCTATCTTTAGAAAACTAGCAAGTCTCTTTTGTATTTTTTGTTTTGAAACTTTAATTATGTTTTGAATTCAGAACTCTGCAATTTGAAGTAAAGTTTTGTTTTAAAGTTAACAGAGGGAGTTAAAATTATTTTTTTCATTGTCAAAATAAGATTTATATGTACAAATAGATGTGTAGAGCTGCAGGTGCTTACTACATGTCCTCTTGGGTGTTGGTGTCTTACCTGGCGATAACGATCATTCTCCAGGTAAATTAAATCTTCAATTTTAAATGACAGAGTTCCTCGTTTGGTGATAAAAATAACACAGATAACGTTTACATGTAAATTGTAATAAAGAGTTTCTTTAGTTCCTGTTCAAGAATTGTAAGTCGAATACTAAAAAGAAAAGACGAAAAAAATAATATTTAAAAAATATGTGTGAAGATTGCGGAAGAAAAACCGGAAATCTACTTGCTGTTTATCACAATATAAAAATAAAAGTTAAGTAAACTGTAGGAAGTCATTGAAAAACACTTCGGCTTCTAGTTTTTGTTTTAGTTTCACTCATTCTTGTTATGCACTTTTAATTTAGATCACAAGTTTAATTTGCTCCATCAAAATATCCAGAAGAAAAATATCTCGTATTGGTATCAGTGAGGAGACTACAAACCTTACCGAGGATATGGAGTTGACACATGTGTTGGAGGAAAATGACGCAGTCCAGAATCATAGAGAGGACATGTCGATAACAACTCCAGTAGAAGAAACTGGTCCAAGTATAAACCAAACAATTGATCTGGCAACGTCTTTGATGGGGGAAAAAGGTATACATATGAACAATACAGGGGGTATTTCAAAGTCTACGATGGATGAAAATGGTCCCAATATAACCAAGGAAGATGATATGCCAACAGAGGCGGAAGAAAATGGTTCAAATATAAATCAAACGGGCGATTTGGCAACATCTTTGGTGGAGAATAGTGGAACAGATGAAAACCAAACAGGTGATATGTCATATGCAGTGAATAGAAATAATACACATGTAGATCCAACAAGCCACATGGCAACATCTGATGTGGATGAAAATGCTCTCCATATAAATCAAATGGATGGAAAAGAAACTGCAACATCTGAGATGGATGAGAATAGTTTACTTGAAAACCAGTTAGTTAGAAAGGAAACGCGAATGTCTATTGAAGAAGACAATAGTTTACTAAAAATCCAAACAGAAGAAATGACAACCACTGTGAAGGAAGAAAACTTTTAGATTAATTCAACAGTCTTACCGGAATATTTTATGGACGAGGTATCTATTTAGAGAAGTCAGATACCACGGAAGGGTTTTTGAAAGCGGTGGTTTTTTTTTCTTGTCTCTTTTGCTAAAATGGTTCTTTCATTTTACAAAGCACTTGTGACAAATCAATAAAAACGCAAGTTTGATTTTTTTTTACATCCTTTCCTTATCATTGTTTTCATCACCTTGTTGTTGCCATCGTCATGATTCCAGGCTTTTGTAATAAAGGGAAGACGCCAATTAAAGTCCATAATATTTATAGCTGAGAAAGTCTAATGTGTAATGAATAAATTAAATTTAAATGTATCATTAAAGAACAAAGCCTAGATGTTGACCAAACTTGTTATGACAACCAAAATAACCTAGTGTCTTGTAACAACCGTAATTTGATGAAACAACACATATTTTAAGCTGTCGTTTTTCGTTTTTGTTTGGTTTTCAAAATAGGTAAAACCTTTGACATACAAGAAAAGTGTTTTCTCTTAATTCATTAAAAATATTTTTAATGTTTCTTTTAGTCTTTTAGTTTCAACCTAATTAAAAATTAGTCATTTTTACCCACATTAATTTCAACTTCGAAATGTTGCAACAATTTGAATTTTGTTTACAACTATGATCACACATTTTCGCAAAATTTAATGCATGAATGAGCTTTGACCATTCAATTTATTAATTGTTTTATTTATTTATTGGTTCATTGATTTTGTTTTCATATAAGATAGCTTAAAAAGATTTTTTTAAATTTTCATTTATTAATACAAACAAACAGTGAAATATATATAACAGACAAATTACATTACAAACAATATGACAGTATTACAATTGATACAGAAATATTTTATGCAAAATTTTTAAAAAGTTTAAAAAGATAACAAAGCGAGATTATTTGCTATTTTTATTGCTATTGTTTTTGTACAATAAGAATGTTTTTCTATGAATTATACCAGTTATTTTGGGTATATAATGTTATTTAGATCGTTCCTATGGTTACCATCGAACTACAACTTGATATCTTAAAATATCAAATCGTTTCGTTTCATGCTCTATAAAAGAATATGAGAGACTGAAAGCCATTAAACTCCCATATATATAATGGCGAGGAGCCCTAACATCAATAATATGCTTACAGGTCTCTTGGATGTCGAAATATTCGTATTTGTGCTTTGCAAAAAAGTACAGTGTACGCAAATGAAAAAGATATATCTGAAAAGTTGGAATTATCAGTTAATATTTTCCAAATCCAAATATTATATGAATCTACAAAGTCGATATAATAAAACATATATCAAGTGATATAAAAAAATATAACTTATATGGATATTTATTAAAAAGGTACAGACGGACGAACAAATAGACAGACAGATGTATACAGGATAATGAGCGAACTGAACATTCATTTGCGCTTTCAACTCGAGCTTAAAAATCAATGACAGGTGTAATCAATGCCATTAAAAAATCATCGAATTTACAAATGCTGAATTTTATCGAGGTTGTCGAAATTATACATGCTATGTGCAAAATGTTCAAATAAATAAATTTCAAGAACGTATGAAAATGAGTTCTTTATACAGGTTTAATTTTATGTTTATTTTCACAATGAAAGAAAAGTCAATAATTAAATTGTGATCAGGGTTTGTGTTGCATTAAGACTCGTTCTGTTGAATCCGGATGGTAGCTCACTAAGCTTGAAATAAGCTTCTCCCCAAAGGTTGGTCCCAAGAGCAAGCACTCCGATACAAATAAAGTTCAGCAAAAATCCCGCCTTAGCCTAAAAGAAATGTAAAACATTATATATTTTTTTATCAATAAAAACAATATTTTCCCTCAATGACATTTTGTCAGCACGAGAAAAATGCTGTTTAAAATGTCATGATCAATTTTAGGAGTTACCGTACATCATTTTTGATTCAAAAAGCAAATTACCATATCTTTCACTGTTAAGTGACCCGTTGCAAATACGATAGCATTGGGAGGTGTAGCAACTGGAAGCATGAATGCAAATGATGCGGCGATCACACAAGGAAACATCAAGTACAGGGGGTTCAAATTAAGTCGAAGTGCCTGAAAAAAAAATAATTCTACAATTTATTAATTGGTCTAAAATATATTCGGGGAAGTTTTAATTTCCATTCTCTATATAACACTCTTAACTGCAGCATGAATAAACTGAATAATCATCATGAATTATGAAGGTTTTTACACTGTTATAATATAGCTTTATAGGCCTTTCAACTGCCGCTAGGGTTATATGTAATGAACAATAACTCATTGTTTAGAGCAGGTCCGAGGTATCTAATTGTTTATACGCAAGTCAGTTTTTAGTATTTGCCAAGTGTTTCTTTGCCGTCAGTGGTCAAGTGGTTTTAAAATTTAGTACTAATGTTAAACTGATTTACTATATAGTTGCAGACACCGTTTAATTACATATTAGTAAAATTCTTAATTAAAATAAAAAGTGAAATCTTTTATTGCTAACCTATTAAATTTTTATACTCGCAACTTGTTTAGTAACACAAATAAGATAATTAATTGTTGCATTTACTTGTGTGTGTGTATATATATATATATATATATATATATATATATATATATATATATATATATATATATATATATATATATATATATATATATATATATAATAGCATAAAAATCAATAATTAATGATAAATTTTCTTTAGTGTCGTTGGTCATTTTTAGTGCTTTATATAAATTTCCATCCGTGACCTTGTATCTAACTTGGTAGATCCGACATTTAGGATATACAGTTATGTTCGTTTTTTAGTGCTTTATATATATATATGTATATATATATATATATATATATATATATATATATATATTATATATATATATATATATATATATATATATATATATATATATATAGGTGCGCAAAAGAGCACTCACAGAAAACATGACTTAATATTTTCTTCTTCGTAACAATTGTCAAATAGAGTTTATTGAATATTGTCTGTTCCCCATTCATTTGACCCTGTTATTTCGACATTCTCCTTATTTTGGTCAACACTTTTGTGTACAAAACAATGTAAGGAACCCTTTTGTGTACATAACAATACCTATGTTGTTCAAAGCAGCCTATATATCATTCTTATAAACGATAACTCATAAATCGGCACGTAGTTGGTCATTTTTTACACCTGAGTTACCTGTCCTTAAAACACAACATCGAAGTAGTCAACTACAAATGATTAAACTTTTTTATGATTTAATTAAAGATATGAATAATTTGATAATTTCATGTGCATATAAATCTAATCTATGAAATGTTTTTTTTTACCATATGTGCAACCTGAAAAATTAGTTGAAAGGCCTAAGCTTAAACATACCAGATTGGCTAATATAGGCAGAATGAGAGTTGTTGTGGCTGAATTGCTTGTGACCTCTGTAAGCATTGCAATTATCAGCGTAAGTAAAAGGTTCATAGCCCAGGGAGGCATGCCACTTAGAACTTCAAGCTGTTCTCCTATGAAAGCTGACAATCCAGATTTCTGTAATGTTAATTTATTTTTATAATTACATGTATATATGTTTGATTGCATACAAATTTCAATAAAAGCAACTTGTCTTATCTTACTTGACTTGTCTTAGATTCGAAGCAAAATTTATTCATTTTTAGGACGAGCCTTTAACTTCATATTTAGATAAATCGACGGCCTTCAATAATTAATAATAAAGGACTTTATTCGGTAATGGCCAATATCTGCCCCCAAAATCAAACTTTGACAGAGAAATACATAATTATGTTCTTAAACAGGGGGATATCTGCAGACTTCAAAGCACTAAATATTTTTGAGTGATGACGTCATATGTTTGAAATGAGTGAAACAAGTGAAAAACAGTACGATAAAAATATTTTGAAGCTAGACTATTCGTAAGTGTGCTGTGGGAAGTAAGGTGTGAAGCAGAGAACAATGCTGTGTCGTGGACCCTTTAATGTTTTTTTTTTACAGTATCGTACGTAACTCTTGAGTCTGTCTACTTTTGGATATGTTTAGATAAGCTCTGAATGCAAGGCCAAATGTCTACAATAAAACAACTATTTCTTTAGTTTTTAGCACTTTAAGTCCCCTGATTATCTTTTATGTGAGTACTACTCAGGATTTTTCGTGATGTTAGGCTTAATCTTACATACTTTTCTTAAATGGGATTTCTGAATACGTTAAACAGATGTTTGGAAAGGGAAATTTTTTACAGCAACCATAAGCAAAATACCTCACAAGCATCAGCCAAAGCATATCCTCCTCCAATTAGCAGGAGAACCCCCCAGGGAAATTTCTTCTCCACGGTTGGCCAGTCCAGGATGGCCGGAACTGAACTGCGTGGCCTGTTGTCTCCCGGAAACGCTTTTTATTATGTAATAATATTATATAAACCAAATTCACCTCAAATTCATACACAATAACACTCAATTTTGGATTGTGTGGGTTTCTGTGATGATGCTTAAAAGCTATTTGTGTAATGTGGAATCAACAAGTGTTGCTATTTAAATAAAAAATTCTCATGTTTATGTTGAAAACGTCTCGCATATGAAGCGTTGCGTTACATAATATTATTTCATGACTTCTCTTTAAATAGAGGTTTATGACCTCAAAGATTCTAAAAGGTATTGAGAGTTTAAAATCAAACTAGCCAAAAAAAAAACCCATTAGTTTAAAGGTGCCGCATTGTAGTTTGGCAGAAAAATTATGCAAACATACGATTTTTCTTTCGAAAACAGAGAACTGCAGGACGTTCGGATGGAAATGTAAATAATGACATCACAATAAGAAGAGCAGCTGCCGAATCTCCAACAAACCTAAAAATGGATATTTTTCATAGAATTAAATGTACATCATTTGATTAAGAGTACTTTGAAGGCCGTATAAAAGTACATGTACTTCATTAGATAAAGGTACCTTATCAACCACAATCTTTTGATTTAGGGTATTTTGTAAACCATTTTCCATTAGATAAAGGGTTCTTTTGAAAATCTTACCCGGATTTAAAGAGGGAACCCCAGCCATCAATATATGGGGGTTTGCGAAAAAACC